AAATTTTGACTCGATTTCTTTAAATCCAATTTTGATCTAGTAAAACTTTGAAATTAATTGCATTAATTTTGCTAATCTCCAGATAAAAAAACAAATTTCCACGATGCGTTAGTTCCACCAGAAAAACACAGTTTGCTTAAGAATCGCATTCTCAGCTATTAGAGAAGTATTTTTTCATATGTCAGTTCTCGCGATGCGTCTCAAGATGCGTCGCGAAATCTCATCGAAGCGTCCTCGTAGTCGTCGTCCCGGCCGACACTTATCCCATAAATAATCCAGACATCGAAATTCGTTTGACGAATCCATCGATGAGTTTTTCCCCCACCCGGTGTACCCTCGCCGTACGAAGCGGACGCGTCGATGCCGGTGCACGCTGACCGTTGTACGCGACCGGGTGTAGCTGTCGGTCGCGGTAGCATCCCGTCGGACAGGTTGTGCGAATGTCCTTCGACGCCCGGCAAACACGCCGTTTCGAGCAGAAAACCGAGCCGCTGATCCCGTCTGTAATGCCCGTGTCCACGGGCTTGACCAGCCCCGCGACCCAGACCAGGCTGGTCTCAGACGGGGTTGAAGCTCCGCCAACAGGAGGAAGCGAGTCACACCGCGCGGAGACGGGTTAAACGGGCCATAATATCGCCGCTTCCGCCGTCAAACACGTATAACGTCGGACCTACCTAACCGAAACCCTCGACCACCCGCCACCGCTCTCCTCTCCGGGACACCGCCTCGAGAAACAAAACAATTCGAGGAAATATGAGTCCTCGTGTACCAGCGCGAGCAATAACCACTCGGTAGACACAAGGGGTGCGCTGGAACTATCGCTTGTGCTGCGAGAACTAATTTTGCCCGGGTACGGATTAAGATGTTGGCTTTTTTCAGCTAGAAGTGTCGTAGGGGTTGCGACGAAAATTAAGACTCAGGAGACCACAATAGGCGATTTTTATTCCCCGATTTATTCGAGAGACAACGCATTGATGTCTGCAATTGGTTATCAAGTTGCTCGCAACGGAGGACTACGTGAGAAAATACGACGTCCGATCGAAGAAGTTGCAGATAAAAGAAATGCTGATACTTCTGGAACACCCAGTATGGATATATGTAAGGGTGGCTCGGGGGATATCAAATCCCGCTAGAAGTTCACTGGCGGAGGAAGCACTCCGCTGCCGTCGCCGCCGCCGCCGCCGACGTCGGACGCGCTTCTGGATCGGTAAACTTTTCAACGGCACCCCGGCGAACTTAGAGATGTATACAGCCTAAATTGCTTCTGGAGCGTAACAATATCGTACGCGCGCGTGTTCAAGGAACAGTGGAGATCGATGAAAATAATGCGGATTGAGATGAAACAAATTTAATTTCCAACTGAATGTCGATGTAAACGACTTAACCATAACGGCAACATTAAAGCAATAATTTTTGCAATTAGATGGTATAATCAATGTCGCAATATCTGTTGATTTACGCTAACAATCACTACGGAATATTCCTTGCGCGAAGACAGCAAAAGCAGAAAGTTATAGACGAGTAGATATTGAAAAATTGATCGATAAGAAACCGTTGTTTAATACACTTGATGATATTATTAAGATTAATTTTATTATCTAATGAAATCAATCTAATCATTCTTGGCAAAAATGCTCGATAAGCGTGCAATCCGTAATTTACGTTTTTGCAACCTAATAGTTGCGGTGAAGTTATCATTACGGATAAGATAATTGTCAAGACATGTGCTGTATTGCGAAAGCAGATGTTGACACAATAAATATCTACCTGGCGACGGAAGGCAAACATCGCGTGTGTTAGCAAAGAATATTCACGATATTCAGATACTCGAAATTTCTTTAACAGAAAATTTTCCCACTTTTTGCCAGCGTGTGCTCATGTTTCAGCTAAAGTTGGACTGAGCAAACGGACGAATATAAGTTTTCGTTTTACGATCAAAAATATATGTATGTTTTAACGAATGCGAATATGATGCAGCTTATCAGAGAGAGAGAGTGCATACTTACAAAATAGTTTTGTAATCACATGGTGAAAGTTATCTAGATACGAGAAATTAGCTAAGATGGGTAAATGCTAACTAGTGAGCACTACGATATCGTATGTTTTGTACTGAATCAATATAAATGACACAGACAGAATTTCTGTTTATTTGTAAAATTTGGCAAGAAAGTCTCTCTGTAGTACCCATTTAATCGGATAATTAAAATCAGATAATTGATAACGGGACTCAAATTTGCCTGCAGATATTGCTGAAACGCTTTACTGCTGTAAATTCTATGTACATCACAGACAATTTTCTAGTAAATATAAGAAACAGCGATAAATTTCAACTGTGACATTTCGAATTCTATCTGGACCAGCAAAGTACTTTTTAGTGAAGATAGACACAAATATATCACACTTTTGTTATTCGTTCATTGTTTGTCCGTTCGGTATATATCCAGCTTGAGAAGTCGAAATCCATCCTCTTTGCACATTACTTGGCAAATTTAGCGTAAGAAATGTAACTTTATGATGCGATCGTTGATCTTAACACAGGTACTGACGTAAAATAATACAGATCCGCGAAAAATGAAGCAGCCATTCTCACAAATCGCCGTGGTATGTACCATCTTACATATTTATGACAGCTCTAATGAGCACTGTTGCTAAACACGTACGAGAGAATCCGCGACCGAGCGAGTTGTTCGACAACGCGAAGCCAATCCGCGTTCTCACCGTCTTACGCATCGCGGTAAAGATGAAGAAAACCGTCACGAAACGAGCCGTAGATCCACATGTACTACGCGGCAACACGCAGCGTGAAATTAAAGGAGAAATAGCGAAACTCTGCAACGACGCGACGTTCGCGCCTACGTCGAAATATTTCCTTACGAGACGTTTCGCTCTTTGATAGAAAGCCTGCGCGCGTGAAATGATATTTATAAAGTAATAACCGAAGCGATATTACATACATCTTGTGAAAGGAAAGCTCATTTCAAATAATTAATGGTTGCACGAGGGAGTTGCATGAATTTTTTTTCGAAATCTAATCTTCCTTATTTAGTCATTTAACATCATTTGGTATTCATCGAGTCAGCAATTACCGGCACACAAATCGCGCGCCACGAGATCTCTACGAGAGCAAACATCGCCAAGATTCATTTTTTTCATGCGTATTTTACTTTTACGCGTCGTTAATTTTTTTCTCCCTGTGGTGATGTAAATTTCGAGTTTGCTCCTTTCGCGCTTATATTCCTCTCCACAGCACTTTCTATTACTTTCTATCGTACTGAAAATCTTTCGCGTACTACACTCGCGCGCGCGGGAGGATATATACCGTTAAATAATTTCCACGCGGGGACGGAAAGTACTTTAAGCCACCGCTATCTGCGGGTTGCGCCAACAAAAGGACGAGAGGAATCGTTCGACAAGAAACCGATGAAGGGTTTATCTTAATCCACGGTTCACCGAGCAGACGAGCTCCTCGCCAATACTATTCGACCACCCCTTTCATCGTTTATGCCCGCCCTCTCGCACGTAACCGATCACACTTCGCTTGTTTCACTAGCACATTTTTTGCCGAGCAGACCACTTATAATCGCGATCGCGTTTATAACGAGACGGATAGTACAATCGCCTCCTCCATATAAAAACTACTTAATCTCAATGTTTTTCTTCCAATCAATTGTTTTTTGTGTGTGTCGTCTGTCTCTATTAGAAACCCGGAATTCTGCAAATCAAGGCCGAATTATACTCGACTCAATTCATTGTCAAATATAACTTGGCTTAGCCTGTATCTGTATGGTTTTGCCAAAGTCTTTGGCAAAATCAAGCATGTTTGTTAACAATCACTTTGTTGATAAGAAAACGTTTTGTTCCAAGTGCGCTCTGACTTTACCAAGTAGATACCAAGCGACCAAGTTATATATTTGACCATAGCTATGTAAGAATGATCCAATTCACAAAATTTATTTTTGAGTTTTTGTTTAATAAGTAGTCCATACGTTTTTTTATCAAACAAAAAGAGCCTTATGGGCTCCTAAAATTAGTTGAAAAATAGTTTTTATTTTTTACTAGTTGCGTCTTATTAATAACTCTCAATTTTGACAGTTTGGCGAGCTCCCAACTTCATTATGTCTAAATCATTTTACAACCTATTGCACCGATCGCTACCTCGATATGTCTCGAATATATTATTGCTCACTGATATCAAACACGGACGTTTCGGCAGGTAATTAGAACAGCATTGCAAACATGATAGTCATCCAGTAAAAGCGTTCCCGCGAGCACATGAAAAGAAAAAAGGCCTGCTTAAACGTTCTGCGTCGGGGCACTTCCGGAAACCTTCGATTCTGCATTCACAGTAAAAACAGTTAATGAAGTTATTGGCCGGCCGCAGGATAGCGTTGAGAAAAACGCGGGAATCGCTGGCGTAGATACTGCTCCAAGTAGAACGAGCCGGCCAGCTGGTCGATACAATCTCGTGCGCGATCGACTGACATTTTCCCAGAGTGTAATCATTTGACACTCGCGGGTGGCGACGACACCGCGGCGAAAGGACGAGTCGGACGAGGGAAAGTCTGACGAAGCGATTCGAAAGGATGTCACCGGAGCGGAGGCTGCGAGCGGGCCGAACACCTGTAACACCGTGTTCACGGCGTCACGTGCCCGGGTGTTGCCGTGACGAAAGTCCCGATGATCGTGCAAAAACCGGCCCGGCTAAAAAGCCGATCGGGCTCGCGCTGTTCGGGAACACAGGGCTTCCCCGGCGGAGCGTGCGATGGGAAACGTTAAAGCGAGAATCTGTGAGATCCGCGATTTAGACGGCCAAGGCGATCGGGCGAACTAATCGAAAGATCAACGTTGCAGCCAATGCGCTTCTCGTTCCGGTAGGTTAATCCTTGGTCGCGATCGCGTTCATTTCTTCGTCGTAGAGTCACGTGAGTTGACGGCGCTGCACGCTCGCTGATTCGTTTACATGAAATCATCTCGATTACGTATGACGAGAGAAGAATTACCGGTGTACTTGACTCCTCGCTCTCGGGCGGGGGCGAATGATCGGCGATTTTCCTCCGCCGACTATGCGCCAGCGGGTCGAAAAGTGTCCCATCAGCTTGTTGTACAGTCGGGGAACCTCCGCAGCGTACACGTTAAGTACGCCCGGATCTGTCGGACGAGCGTGCGCGTACTCGGTTCTCCGATCAGATACACAGTCAGCATGACTCCGCGATCCGCACCCTCGACCACCGACGGTGTCCCGCTGACTATTTATCTTGTTACATCGAAGTGATCCGATTCTAACAGGAGATCAATGACGGCCGCCGACCACCGCGGCTTTCCGGCTCCTTGTTGCGTGCGACTACTTGCGGAAACGCGACGATCGCACGAGAAGCTCCGCATTGGAAACAGCGGACACTTCCAAATTTGTCCTTTTCTCAAGCGCCTCATTGAAATACCCTGCAATTACAAATATGTTATTTAACTGCATATTTGATCAGTCAGAAAGAGTTCGGCTCGCCCGATAAATTTTCGGCCATCTTCCACGATGGAGATGTACATAAAGAGAATTTTATAGTGAAAATTACTAGAGAATTTCGTAATTGAGAAACAGATCGAAATTCTGCAGTAATTAACTATCCTCTCATTTTATACGCAATGTTAGAGGCGCGTAATGAGTCATGTTTAATTAATCGTAAAAGAGAGAGAATCTTATTGGAATGCACGTTGTCTCTCGTGTGTAACGCGAATATTTCTCACGTATCCATCCGATTAATCGGCGCTGCAACAAGCAGCCGGATATGACACGATCACTCGAATAATGCCGAGGGCAATGAATCAATAATGTAAGAGCAACACGAAGAATGGCCGTATAACGTGCAAGCGAACACTTAAACCGAGCAACGGAGGCACGTTCGGGGGCCATGTGTTACCTAATAATCACATTCGGCAGTCACCCAACAAATATTTATTGCTACTTACCGGTCGGTGAATGTAAACGGGCCGGACCGCTCTAATGGAGAGCACCTAATTTCGCCCACGCGGTCGCGATCGAGCCGCTCGTGTGGAAATTAATTCGGTCGTAACTCCGCTTTCTGATAATGCCGGCGTCGTTCGTGTCACCGTAGATATTGTCGTGAGTCATCAGCCGGCCATACTGTCTGAAATATAGAGAAAGAGAGAGAGAGTAGCGATTGCGTGCGATAAACTTCTGCCATTGTATGAGAAATCTCTTTGCAACAGCAATTGCTATTTACGACGTGACAAATGATTAGCCGCGTTAGAGGCTCTATTTGCATCACTATGTGTGTAAGCAATTGTCCGATCTGTTGATCGAAGAATACTACAGGCGTATCGGCTTCGATTATCGAGCGACTGCGAGACAATTTCCTTTAGACGCTAATCAAGCAACAGCGTCGGGGTAAAGTACACCTAACCGGTCGGGATAATATGGATAAACGACGACGAAAATGCTAGGGCGGCTGGCAACAGGAACCGGAACGCACGTCAGCTCGTCATCGTCGCCGAAATGTCAGTAGGTGTTTGGCCAGGTCGCTAATGTAATATTGTTTGCGGGAGTATCGGATGTAGACAGCAAGTAACTCTCTTGGGAAGAATCGTTAAGGAAGTTTCTAAAGCTTACCGCTAGCGATATGTCCTTTACCGTCTTTTAATGGTGAAAATGCGCGATATTCGTTCGTCCATTTGTTTGCGAGAATCATCCCTTTGGTGCAAAATATTAAATTAATCAAAAATAAAAGAAACGAAATAAGAAAGAAAGAAATAAGAAACAGCAGAACAGAGAAGAAAAGCAGAACATGAAGAGAGAGAAAAAAGAAAAAAGTAAAAAAAACGGAGTTACATATCGACCAAAGTATTTTCTCTTTCTGACATTTCACGCTTCTTTGCAATTTTATATCTACAGAATATCCGACAATTCGTTATACAGTCACGGTAGAACTCATTAAGTTGAACACAAAGTTCCTTTACTATTTCGCAAACCAAAGTATGTGAAATTTTGAGTTATTAATCAAAGAGAACTGATGAATCATCACGCGCGATACGCTAAATGAGCTGTGATGACGACATCTGCCCTCGTGTACATAGTCCATAATTATCTGTGATAATGCACCAATCTTCTTTAATCAATAACTAAATAAAAATTGAGTAGAAGACTTTTGGTTCAATTTGATGTAATGTACAAGTACACTAGAGCAGACATCAAAGCAGACGTCGCCATCACAGCTCATTTACCATATCGCACGTGATATAATTCAAACTTCTTAGAATTCGAGTTAATAACCCAAAATTTTACGTGGTTGTTTGCGAAATAGCAGAGGAATTTTGCGTTCCAGTTTGGTGAGTTCTACTTGTACACCGCGGCTGTATGACGAATTATGTCGGACATCCTGTACATATATTCATTCTTTCGTAAGCCTTCCTTCTCCCCGTCAAGATAAACAATATATTCGTCATCGTATAAACCATCGATTCTGCGCAACAAATGTGAAAAACGGCCAAACAAACAAACGCCCGAAATCATCTACAGTTATAGCGTTAGTGTTTCAGCAATTATCGCACGTGATACTTTATCTCACGTCCAAACCACCGAACGCCATAAAGTGCAACTTGGCGGAGTCGACGAATTGCATTTTCCGCGGCGTTACCGTCCGCGGCACCGCCGTAGCCCTCGTGCTCACCGTGCCATCTAATTTACACGGATACGATATGTTCCGATTAATCGCGGGTCAGTTACACCGGCGCTAATTAACTTATCGTTCGCGCTCGGCCCGAGCGCAACACACTCGACGCTGCACCGCCGCCGCGGTGCACCCAGGTGTTGGAAGTATTGCGAATCAGGCGTATACGTGGAAATCATAAATATAATCGACCGAGTGGGAGCGTGTACCGGGCATAAATTGCTTTCGCATTAACGAGATCGTGCAACGTTCCCTCGAGCGTGCATTTCCCCGATTTCCAGAGAAAAGGAGCAATGACTCGTTAGATATTATTAAACATGGTGCGCTTGCCCAACGTGTCGAACCTGTTTGAGTTCCTTCGATCACGGGTATTTCATTAAACGTGCGATTTTGTCACGGCACTAACGCCCTGCGCTCACTAAAGTGTCGAATCAATGTATTACCTCGCCCGAATGTTATCTGGTCTCGTCGAGGCTAATGATAAACTACGTTCGTTACGGATGAAAGGCTGCTTAATTATTAGTTGGATAAAATATCTACTAAACTTTTTTGTGAATATATGCATTGCATATATTAGTACGCCATTCGCGGAAACGAACATGATGTGTGTACACTGAGAGAAAAAATATTTAAAAAGTAAGAAATATTTGTGGATACTGATAACATACTCATTTGTACTAATATATATATTTACTGAGAAAAAATTTTCTTCAAATGAGAAAATGTATATTTCACTACAACATGCACCGTTACTTTTCACAAAAGCATTTGTTTATTCTATTTGAACAAAAGAATTTAAATTTGTTATCCGCACCGACCGAATGAATATCTTTTTTCAAAGATATTTTTCTTTTACAGTGTAATACTACTATAATTTTTACTTCTATAATTCTTATTACTATAATACTTACTTCTATAATTTGTGAATTTATGAATTCATATGGAGAAATGTGATTCACATGTTTCTCTAAACATATTATATTATAAGAAACAACAAATATACATACATATATTTGCATTATCAATTTCGATATTTTCGACCGTCAGAGATAACGTATAAATTAATTCGTGGAGGCACGAGAGCGTGTAGCCTTGAGGAAAAAACGCTTCCTTGATATGTGCATATGTGTCCGTTTTAATTACGATACTGACGCGCATGACAGACATTTTACTTCGCCTGACTGTCAGCCATACCGCACTAAAAAGCGATATATATTTCCGTTTAAGACACTCGGGTGATCTTGATACAGAACCACACGAAAACGCGATTTGGATGTATCTAGCCACGCTCGTGTTGCGTGTTTCCGCGTGCTGAATTATACCACCGTAAAATTGTAATTATGCAAATGATGGATATGAATGAAGGATATGGTCAAAACGATCAAAATGTTTCGCGTTGCGCGTATATTTGCATCAAGGGCGAGCTGCCTCTGTGTGTCCCTTAATGCGCGCCAGAATTCGGTCGGTTCATGCGTGATCCCGATTTGCATACGGGGTCGCAAGAATACCCACCGGAGAACTTCACGCCGGGCACATCCGTTGATCGCTGTCCGATTCATCATAGGTCATCGTTGATCAACATCCGACGGCGGATTCCCGTCACGGCGATCGCGAGGTCGTTTCTTCTGCTCGCCGGTCAGTTAATGGCTCCGTTTCTCCGCTATGCCGATCCGTCATTGGCTTCCGGACGTGTCCGCGGCCAACCGTTTCGCGACGCCGTAACTCGTGCCAATCGACGGTGGATTTGCGTGACCGTGACGCAAAATGCATCATGGTGCCTCCCACTTCGTCCGATTTTTGCGACGCGGCATTTTAATGTCTCTTCGGAGTGAACGGTGATTCAGCCGTCGTTTCGCTCTCTGTAATTTATCGTCCCGCCGACCGGCCGCGTTCCTCCACGCCGCCATTCTCATAGTTCGCACGTGCTGCGGATAAGGGCAAATGTTACGTTAATCCATTAGGCCAGTGTAATTATAGTTTATAGCGACAGCAAGAAGCGACGAATCGCTCACTATTTCTGCGGCCATCGTGGTATTTTGAGCAAACATCGCGCTCTGGAAGACAACGGCACAATTGGCTAATTAGACACAAATAAACATTCAAGTGTCCAAAGAGTCCCGCGTCATTTTCAATTTTACTAATGCATGCTACGATTGCGAGTCGACGGAAAGATTATTATGAGTCCGCAGCTATATTTACCAACCTTAACAAAACATTCTCTCTCTCTCTCTCTCTCTCTCTCTCTCTCTCTCTCTCTCTCTCTCTCTCTCT